TGTAGGAATTGCAGACAGACTGAGTAATTCCTATATAACCAAAACCCTTTGGGGATATGTTGAAAGCATTAGCTTCTCGGTGTTTTATTCAATGAATAATCAAGTGTACAGCGAGAAATGCGTTTACTTCTGGAGCACTTGAATTCACCCCTTCTTGATGTAATCTCAGGTTTTCTGAGACTCTGAGTATTATTTTGTGGAATGCATTTTGTCATCTTCTTTTGGCCTTGGTGTTATCTGTTTTTCTTCGACGTAGTGTTTTACGATGTCTACTTTTAGATAAAGCATAAAAAAAAACACGTAGTAAATCAGTGCCAACAGTTTGCCTTAGAAATGAGGATATTTTTCTGCCGAGATTTTAAAGAAGATTTCTATAAGGAACAAACCTTCAAAAAACATAAACATCCTAACTCGATAGTCTAATATCAAACAAAGTTTCAAGTAATTCGTGCCAATTATATAGGAGTCGTGGACAGACCGATTAACTCCCATATAACCAAAACCCATTGTTGATGGGGATGCGGTGAAAGCCATTAACTCTTCAATGTTTTAATCAATGAATAGTCAAATATAGAGCGAGAGCTACTTATCCTTCCGAGCACTCGAATTCACCCCCTCTTTAGGTGTGGTTTCTGTTGCTCGATCTCAATTTTTTTAAGTAATGTTTTGTGAACTGTATTGTTCGTCTTTTTTTTAGAATCAGAATTAATAAAATGTTATTCTCGCTGCATTGAAGACCCATTGGTGGCCTTCGGCTGTTGTCTGCTCTTTGGTCGGGTTGTTGTCTCTTTGACATATTCCCCATTTCCATTCTCAATTTTATTCGCTGAGCGCAGCCTGATACGACCACAGAGGTTGAACCTTGAACAGTTGGGGTAAGTTTGGACACAATATTCAAGCTTGATATACTGTCTGAAATTCAATTTGGATTGTGATCAAATTTTTGACGTAATATAGGTTTCCGACACAAAATAAATGTGGTCAAAGATCTTAAAAATTTGAAATGGGACATTTAATTTACCTAGTAGAATGGTCTGATATCCAAAATCTAACAACATGGTTAGATTCAGCATATAAAATAAAATACTCCGCTGGGCGCAGCTTGATACGACCGCAGAGGTCGAACCCTGAACAGTTGGGGCAAGTATGGACACAACATTCAAGCTTGATACAGCACTGAATTTGGATTGTGATTAAATATTTGACACAGCATAGGTTTCTGACACAGAATGAATGTGGTCTAAGAACTTAAAAAATTCTAATTTACCTATTCAAACCATATCATTATTATTTGCTTTTATATAAAAACCAGAAATAACCAATTTAAAATGGAAAATTTTAAAGAAAAAAAAATGAAATAAAAAATCCCCCCCCCCCCAATGTTTTGAACCCCCTTATGATTCATCACCCCCTAAACTCAATCCCAGTCAATTTTAGACCTTTCAAACCTTAATATGAACTAATTTGAAAACAGGGCTCGAAATAAAAAATCTTAATGCATAATAAGATTCAGCATATCATACAGCCGCAACAATCCAGTTTTATATGAAATCAAATAAAGTTTAATTTTGGACCCTTTTGACCTCAATGTAGACCAATTTTAAAAATACTCAAAAAAGTAATACAAGGTTAGAACCCCCAAAAATTAAAGACTTTAAATTAATCCCATTGAATTGGTTAAAAGATTTGTATTTATTTTCAATTGAAGATTTCTTGCTATTGTGCAATACTGTGCAATGAAGATTTCTTGCTATTGCGCAATACTGTGCTACTGCTCAATACTGTGCAATTGAAGATTTCTTACTATTGCGCAATACAGTGTTGTTGCACAATGCTGTGCAATACTGTGCAGTTGAAGATTTCTTGCTGTTGTGCAATACTGCTCAATTGAAGATTTCTTGCTGTTGCGCAATACTGTGCAATTGAAGATTTTTTGCTATTGCTCCATACTATGCATTTGTTCAATACTGTGCAATTGAAGATTTTTTGCTATTGCGCAATACTGTGCTATTGTGCAATACTGTAATATTGCTCAATACTGTGTAATTGAAGATTTCTTGCTATTGCGCAATACTATGCTATTGTGCAATACTGTAATATTGCTCAATACTGTGCAATTGAAGATTTCTTGCTATTGCGCAAAACTGTGCAATTGAAGATTTCTTTTTATTACGCAATACTGTGCAATTGAAGATTTCGTGCTATTGTGCAATACTGTGCAATTATTTGAAATTTCAAAAATTTCGAAGAAAAAAAATATGAACGCCCTAAAAAATTGGAAAAAAAATCCCCCCAAACTTTTTGAACCCCCTCTTGGAGTAATTACCCCCTAACTCAATCCTAGTCTGGAACCTTGTAGTACAATTTAAGAGAGGTTCATACACTTAAACACAAGTTATTGTCTGGAAACTAGAAAAATGCTTGTTTTTGGCCCCTTTTTTGCCCCTTAATTTCTGAACACTTGGGGCAATTGCCCCCTAACTCAAACCCAGCCTTTTATTTGTGATATGGAACATTGTGGTACAATTTCAGAGAGATCCATACATTTACACACCAGTTATTGTCCTGAAACTACAAAAATGCTTGTTTTTGGCCCCTAATTCCTAAACTGTTGGTACGATAACCCCCAAAATCAATCCCAACCTTTCTTTTGTGGTATTGAACCTTCTGGTAAAATTTCTTTGAGATGCATTCACTTAAACTAAAGTTAATGTCCGGAAACCAAATGTGTCTTCGGACGACGACGCCGACGACGACAACATCATAGCATTATACGACGCAAAATTTTTTTTGAGGTCGTATAAAAACTGAATGGGTCTATGAATACCCATGCTACATCTTTAAAGACCCAAATGTTGCAAAACACCTGTCTTACCTCCATGACAAATATATTGTTGTCCCCGCAGATAAATCCCCTAAAAAAATCGTTTTTGTGTGTAGACACATTACATAAAGTGCTTGATAAATGAATAAGGTACTGACAATTAATTTAACATAGACCCAATGATACTTACCAAGGAGGAAATCCTGGAAAATCATAGGTCTGTCTGTTTTTTGTTCCTTTGGAATTTCAACTAAAGACGAAGAACTGGATTTTCCTTCACTGTATTGGATATACCTAAACTACATAAGTGTCCTTACAAACAACGTTATATTGATGGGTCTTCCAAGTGCTCCACGAAACCTCTGTCTAAATTATTAAAATCAATTTTATCAGCAATCAAAGCCGGGCTTCAAAGTTATTGTGAAACTACCTATTCTAGAGGTGGCATGAATCAGATGTGGATACATGTACTAAAAAATTCCAAAGATCTTTTAGAGTACATACAATCTAAGACTCTTTCATCTTGCAATAGTATTAAAACACTTGACTTTTCTACTCTTTACACAAGTATATCCAATTCCAAAATAAAAGACAAATTAAAAGAGTTGGTCCTGCTTTGCTTCATAAAAAAGAATGGCCAACGTAGAAACAAATATCTTGTCATACAGAGGGATACATCGTACTTTGTAAAGAATCACACTGTTACAAACAAAAAATTCACTGAAACTGACATTATCAAGATGCTTGATTTCTTGATTGACAACATATTCGGTACGTGTATATAGAGGACGTATTTTTCACCAAACAATTGGCATTCCCATGGGAACCAACTGTGCCCTCTTCTTGTCGACTTTTTTCTTTATTCATATGAGGCTGACATCGTACAGGAACTTCTTAGGGAGAAAGAAAAGAAGTTAGCAGTATCCTTTAACTTCACTTGCTCTATATAGATGATGTTCTCTCACTAAATGGTTTAAAAATAAATGGGGAATGTGTCCATGGGACACAGGTGATGCCCCCGCTTGCATATCATATAAAGTTATAAAGGGACATAACTAAAGAATAGTAAAAGTGACGCTACCCAAATTTGAATTCATCCTAGTTTTGTGGTAATAAGTATTGTGTATAAGTTTCATAACATTTGGTGAGGCAAACTTAAGTTAGAGAACAAAAACGAAAAATTCAGCAATTGTTCTATTTATTAAGGGACATAACTCTAGAACGGTTCAAGTGACGCTACTGAAAAACAAACTTGATCTGTGTTTTGTGGTAATAAGTAATGTGTAAGAGTTTCATAACATTTGGTTGAGGCAAACTTAAGTAAGAGACAGAAACCAAAAATTCAGCAAATTTTCCATTCGTAAAGGGGCATAACTCTAAAACGGTTCGAGTGACGCTACTGAAATTAGAACTTAATCTGTGTTTTGTGGTAATAAGCATTGTGTTTAAGTTTCATAATAAAATGCTCCGCTGGGCGCAGCTTGATACGACCGCAGAGGTCGAACCCTGAACAGTTGGGGCAAGTATGGACACAATATTCAAGCTTGAACTTAAAATTTTTTAATTTACCTATTCAAACCATATCATTATTATTTGCTTTATATATAAATCAGAAATAACCAATTTAAAATGGAAAATTTTAAAGAAAAAAAAATTTAAAAAAAATCCCCCCAATTTTTTGAACCCCCTTATGATTCATCACCCCCAAACTCAATTCCAGCCTTCCCTTTGTGATATGGTACCTTGCAGTACAATTTCAGAGAGATCCATACACTTGAAAACAAGTTATTGTCTGGAAACTAGAAAAATGCTTGTTTTTTGGCCCCAAATTCCTAAACGTTTAAGGCAATTACCCCAAAACTCAAACCCAGCTTTCCCTTTGTAATATGGAACCTTGTAGTACAATTTCAGAAAGATCCATACACTTACACACAAGTTATTGTCCTGAAACTAGAAAAATGCTTGTTTTTTTGCCCCTTTTTGGCCCCTAATTCCTAAAATTTTGAGGCAATTACCCCCAAAATCAATCCCAGTATTCCCTTTGTGATATGGAACCTTGTGGTACAATGTCAGAGAGATCCATACACTAACACACAAGTTATGTCTGGAAGTTACAATAAAATGCTCCGCTGGGCACAGCTTGATACGACCGCAGAGGTAGAACCCTGTTCAGTTGGGGCAAGTATGGACACAACATTAAAGCTTGATACAGCACTGAATTTGGATTGTGATTAAATATTTGACACAGCATAGGTTTCTGACACAGAATGAATGTGGTCTAAGAACTTAAAAAATTTTAATTTACCTATTCAAACCATATCATTATTATTTGCTTTTATATATAAATCAGAAATAACAAATTTAAAATGGAAAATTTTAAAGAAAAAAAAAATCCCTCCCCCAAATTTTTGTGAACCCCCTTATGATTCATCACCCCCAAACTCAATCCCAGCCTTCCTTTTGTGGTATGGTACCTTGCAGTACAATTTCAGAGAGATCCATACACTTGAACAAAAGTAATTGTCTGGAAACTAGAAAAATGCTTGTTTTTTGGCCCCAAATTCCTAAACGTTTAGGGCAATTACCCCCAAACTCAAACCCAGCTTTCCATTTGTGATATGGAACCTTGTAGTACAATTTCATAAAGATCCATACACTTACACACAAGTTATTGTCCTGAAACTAGAAAAATGCTTGTTTTTTGCCCCTTTTTGGCCCCTAATTCCTAAAATTTTGATGCAATTACCCCCAAAATCAATCCCAACCTTCCCTTTGTGATATGGAACCTTGCAGTACAATTCAGAGAGATCCTTACACTTGAACACAAGTTATTGTCTGGAAACTAGAAAAATGCTTATTTTTGACCCCTTATACCTAAACGTTTTGGACAATTACCCCCAAACTCAATTCCAGCTTTCCCTTTGTGATATGGAACCTTGTAGTACAATTTCAGAAAGATCCATATGCTTACACACAAGTTATTATCATGAAACTAGAAAAATGCTTGTTTTTTGTCCCTTTTTTGTCCCCTAATTCCTAAAATTTTGAGGCAATTACCCCCAAAATCAATCCCAGCATTCCCTTTGTGATATGGAACCTTGTGGTACAATGTCAGAGAGATCCATACACTAACACACAAGTTATGTCTGGAAGTTACAAAAATGCTTATTTTGGCCCCTTTTTGGCCCCTAATTCCTTAACTGTTGGTACCATAACCCCCAAAATCAATCCCAACCTTCCTTTTGTGGTATTGAACCTTATGGTAAAATTTCTTAGAGATCCATTCACTTAAACTAAGGTTAGAGTGCGAAAACCAATGTGTCTTCGGACGACGCCAACGTCATACCAATATACGACCACAAAATTTTTTTGCAGTCGTATAAAAATGCTTATTTTTGGCCCCTAATTCCTTAACTGTTGGTACCATAACCCCCAAAGTCAATCCCAACCTTCCTTTTGTGGTATTGAACCTTATGGTAAAGTTTCATAGAGATCCATTCACTTAAACTAAAGTTAGAGTGCGAAAAACCAATGTGTCTTCAGACGACATCAATGATGCCAACGTAATACCAATATACGACCGCAAAATTTTTTTTGCAGCCGTATAACAATTATTTGAGGCAAACGAAAGTTAGAGAACGGAAACTAAAATTCAGCAGTTTTTCCATTTTTAAAGGGACATAACTCTAGAACAGTTAAAGTGACGCCACCAAAATTCTGCTTGATCTGTGTTTTGTGGTAATAAGTATTGTGTATAAGTTTCATAACATTGGTTGAGGCAAACTAAAGTTAGAGAACAGAAACTAAAAATTCAGCAATTTTTCCATTTATACAGGAGCATAACTCTAGAACAGTTAAAATGACGCCACCTAAATTCAAACTTGATCTGTGTTTTTTGGTAATAAGCATTGTGTATAAGTTTCATAATAATTGGTTGAAGCAAACTAAAGTTAAGAGAATGGAAACTAAAAATTCAGCAATTTTTCCATTTATAAAGGAGCATAACTCTAGAACAGTTAAAGTGACGTCACCATAATTCAAACTGGATCTGTGTTTTGTGGTAATAAGCATTGTGTATAAGTTTCATAATATTTGGTTAAGGCAAACTAACGTTAGAGAACGGAAACTAAAAAATTCAACAATTTTTCCACTTATAAAGGGGCATAACTCTAGAACGGTTTAAGTGACGCCACCAAAATTCAAACTTGATCTGTGTTATGTGGTAATTAGCATTGTGTATAAGTTTCATAACATCTCGTTGAGGCAAACTACCGGTAAAGTGAGAGAATGGAAACCAACTTTGGAACGTACGTACAGACGGACAAGGGTAAAACTTAATGCCCCCTCCGCTACGTCGTGGGCATAAAAATTGTTGACTATAGTGAATGCATCTATCCCATCGAACGTGGAGATAAAGGATACAACGGATACAGTTAAGTCTGTCTCATATCTTGACTTACAACTAGAAATTGACAATGAGGGTCGGTTGAAAACAAAACTTTACGACAAAAGGGATGCTTTTAGCTTCCCAATTGTGAACTTTCCATTTCTATGTAGCAACATTCCAGCAGCACCTGCATACAAAGTATATATATCCCAGTTGATATGATATTCAAGGACTTGTACTTCCTATCATGATTTCCTTGATAAAGGGTTGCTGCTCACAAGGAAACTATTAAACCAAGAGTTTCAAGTGGTGAAGTTGAAATCATCTTTTCATAAATTTTACGGACGCCATCACAAGTTGGTTGACCTTTACAGAATATCTGATTTACAGATGACAACGGATATGTTCAAATTGTGGTAACTACAATCCCATCTCCCTTTTCCCTGAATGTGACCTACCAAATTAGAATACCACCAGGTTTTTACATACATGACAAGGTGCCACATGCACAGCAGGATCTGCTTACCCTTCCTGAGCACCAGAGATCACTCCCAGTTTTTGGAGGGGTTCATGTTGCTCAGTCTCTAGTTTTCTATGTTGTGTTTTGGTTTTGTGTACTGTTGTTTGTCTGTTGATCTTTTTCTTTTTTAGCCATGGCATTGTCAGTTTATTTTCAAAGACTTATGAATTTGAATGTCCCTTTGATATCTTTCGCCTTGCTTTTGTCATTTTTCTTTTGGCCACGGTGTTAATCGTTTTTCTTCAAATGAAGTGTTGTTTACAATATCTACTTTTAGATAAAATACAAAAGCTAATTGTTATTGAATTTTATTGGACTTCAACATCCATTTTTTCTATCCTTTAACCTACTAGGATTATATATACATGTGATGGCAAGTTACAGTTAAAAATGTACAGCACTGTCTTACACATTAAAAAGAAGAAATAATATATTCCCTCATTATGTAGCTGATAAACATTTATGGAAGTTGATTTTATAAAGATGAAAAACTAATATTTAACTTCATTACTCACTTATTTTGTTGGAGTTTTTGTAAGTATATTGAAAATTATTTCTAAAATAATATTGACTTTTATAAGTTAAAAATTCAATGCTGATATCAATTCAAAATTCCATTAAATTTTTCAATTTTTTAAAATATATTGCAATCATTTGATTGGTGTAAAATGCATAATTACTCATAAAATTAGATTTTTTAGAGGGAAAAGAAAAAGAAAAATCTAAACACAATTTTAAGCAAGAAATCTTCATTCAGTGTACAAATCCGGTTTTTTTTTAATTCAAGTTGATCTTATTCACAAGTTTAATTATATTTTAATGGTATGCCAGAAATTAAGCATTATGAAATTAAATGAAATAAATTTGCAGTTTCATAAATTTACATTTACAGTATTATTGACTCATTTTAACTATTTCTGTTGTAATTAAATTTATGAATTTTTGCAATGATTTACAGTGTAATATACAATAATGTTTCGAAGAAATATTTCTCGGCCAATGAATTATGAAACGGTATATACAAGCAATAGGGTATGTATCATATATATAAAATATTAAACAGCTGAAAATATTAAAAATAAATACCAAAATATTAAACAAAATACAAATGTTTGAATACAAAAGATTACATATGTAAGATAAAAATGCAGATGACAGCTGCTGCAATATGTAATTAAGCAACTTTAAAAAAATACTTCCCCTTTGCTAAAAATTTCCTCCTTTCTTATGTTAAATGAGAGTGGTGTTTACCTTGTATACAACATCCTTTTAATAAATAGTAAATATTCCATCCTTTAGTTGAACTATAATAGTTTCTCAATCTTGTGTGCGATACTTTTTAACTAAACATTATCAAATTTGAGACTAAAATTGATGTTAATAGGAAAACTACTCTTGCCCTTATGTTGCATACAAGTATATACCAATCATTGTTTAATATAGATGAATATGATATACAAATAATGTTACAATCAAGCTTTGATGTTTGAGTAAAAGGTAAATTGGGGTATATGTCAATAGAACAGTATCCCAATTATACAAATAACCTAAAAAAAAAAGACATCTAGAGGTCAACATAGTCTCCAACAACAGACAAGTATACTCACTTGAAGTTACACTTTTTTTTAAAAAGTAAAAGCATTTTCAGCTAGTTATGTGTGAACTATGAATAGATGAAATACAAAAAAGTTAAAAACTTATAGTCATCTTCAGATAAAGAAATCTTTATGGAATTTGCATTTATATATTTTATTCCAAATAAAAAAAAAATCAAATGGAATCACTTAAAATACCCAAAAAAAAAAAACCAACAAAACAAATGGAAATAATTTAAATAAAAAAAAAACTGTGTTTGCCTGCAATTTTTTTTTACATAATGTAACAAAATAACAATACAAAATACAAAACACAAATCACGAAAAAACAATTGTTTGTCGGTAATTTTCTTTTAACATGATGTAACAACATAACAACACAAAACGAAACAAATTGAAACAAGTATGTAATTAAATGTATTTCTAGATATCTAAAATAGCTGTTCTAAAATATTTACAGATCATAACTAATCGGATAAAAAATCTAAGCTGTTATGAGATCACTGAAAATTGTATTTTAAAGGTCAATTGAAAAAAGAATTAAGTTTCTCAGATCATTTCAGAATAGTAGATGCAACATGCATTCTTTCTGTACATTAAAAGTAAAACTCAATCTCACAAATATCCCAACCAAAACAAATACCTTGAATATCTAGAGGCTCACTATTTGGAATTTAAAAAATACATTTCATCTGATGATATTTTTGATGGACATCAAATACAAACCTCAAAACACGCAAATTAATTAAGTTAAAACGAACTTCTCTATGTAGCCTGATGCTTTATTTGTATATTGAAAATCTGACCCCATTTACAAGTACTTTTTTTTAAGAAGCTTCAAATTATAAAATATCATAGAACATCATTTTCTGTACAAGAACAGGCCTCAAAGAACCTCAGTATCTTCAATGATCTAATGTTAATTCATTTTTCAAAAGCCTACTTTCTATACCCTTGACCTGTATCTACTGAATGCCGGCGATTCCCTTTATATGAAATCTCTTTTTAACCCGTAATTATTATGTATTAAAATAAACCCCAACTGAGCTAAAATCAGCTTTCACAACATACCAACACTGACTGGAGAATCAAATTACTGAATTAAAAAAAAACATTAACAGTTAACAAAATATTTATGAAATAACTTCTTCTTGAGTTTATAACTTGCTTAGCATTTCTGAATTATCAAGCAAAGTATATGAGCACATATTTCTATATTGCTGATGTTTATTTATTCTTTCAAGGTATTTAAGTTCATTTTGAAAAAAAAGACAAAAAGAAGAATTTATTTTGTAGCAAATTGGAAATCACATAACTTTTAGTTGATGTGATAAAATTAAAATATTGCAGGATTTCAATTTATTGCTCTTTTTATTATACCTGACTGGGTTTGTTTCAACAAGGTATAATTGACATTGAACACAGCTACAGAGTACAGGAATAAAGCCCAAAATTCCATTAATTGTGGGTCAATAAGAACAAAGAAAAGGTCTAGTAACAAATTTGGAACATGTAAGGTCAACCAAACCATAATTTTAGTCTTTAATTGAATCATCTGATTGTAATAACATACCAAAATCCTGTCAATTTCTTTATGTATGACAATAAATGTCTGAACAAATATCGACATTGTTTTAATAATTTTGAACTACCCAGATCCTACAAAATGGCATTAATTTATGTGGTATGTCATTTGTTTGTAACAATACTTTAGTTTTTTTTTTAAATTGACTTCAAAGAGAATCCCAACATTGATTCAAACTGGTGCATATGTACTTAAGTATTTTATATTTTACAAATTTCCCAAACAAGAAACTTATTATTCATGTTTTGTATACTTTCCTATATACATATAAAAAATTTAAAACTTAATAAGAGAATCCTATTGTCATTTTCATCTAAATATCTATAAAGATAATCTTAGATTAAATAAATATATACCAGTAATAAATAAATAAATAAATTTAATTTTATAATTACATGTATAATCTCAGTTACACAAGAGTAAAATATCAGTCAGTCTTGGTATGTTTTCCTATGAAATTTTTTTAAAATATCCTAAAAGTGTACCTAATTCATCATGACCATTATAAGTCGTAAATTAATGGTTCGACCAGCTAATAATTTATTACATTCTACAGAGTTAATGATTGGTAAATCATTGTATGCTGTTTCCACATTGTCTTGTACAAAGTCATGTGTGTAAATGAAGGGGTTGACCTTCATCTCACCGTATGGGCCTTTCAACACAATGAATGACAGACTAATTGGTGTTGTAAATTTAGATTTCAACACCAGTTGATAAGACAGTGTACGATCTGTTGTAAGAGCTGGATTTTTCTGATCATTGTTGATTCTTGCTTTGATGACCCATTGAAAATTAAATGCGGAGAAACGACTTGTTTCATAGAATAGCTTGGTGGTGAAGTCGTCTGTTCTGTAGGGTTTCATCTGTAAATCTGCAAGTAATATTATTTAACTATCAAATTTATACATAATCATCACTGAAATTAGTGGAATAACTATACAAACCTGGTTGTGGATAATACAATACACACAAGGTGATCTAATATAAAGTTAAAAGTCATGCTTCCTGGATTTGATAGTATCACTGTGAAACCGGACAATCACACGATTAACAGGAGCCTCAGAGGGTGAGTAGTCTTAGTTTTTCATCTATGATAGATCATCACAGATGTCAATTTTTCCTGATGAGGGTTGATGGTTCTCTTGGTGAATTCGGCTGCCTTTGTTTAAACACAATGGCCACCGGGGTAAAGCCAAGGTTTCTGAAAGCAGAGCTTAACAACAACAAACAAACACTGATTTACAACTCATTTAATGTCTAAGGCATATGCAGATATTTCACAGTAAAGCATGCATAATCACCAGCTTTCACTTACATTTATCACCTCAAAAGATAGATTTTAAACTGAAGCACCTTGTGTGTACTGTACATTCCATAGCTGAACAACGTAAGATCTGATCAATATTGGTTTCTTCAAATACAAATGTTAGAATTTCTTGAACTACATTTTTTTTTCAACCTCATCATAATTTTACCTATCACAATGGCTGTATTTTATATGAGGGGCAGAAAACCTTTTTGGGGACGTCACTGTTTAGCCTTTATTTTTGCAAGAATTCTGGATTTATACACGTCAGGACTCTGGAATTCATGATTATTTTTTTGTTATCTGGGAAAGAATGCTTTATTTTTTGGGGAATTTGAGATTCAGTGTTTGTTTTTCCAGGAATTTTGGGATGACACCTTCTCCTACCTACCCTTTTATATGTAAATTAAATGTCAATCTGTCTCATCTTAGGGACAAGAAGATATTATTTTCTTCAAAATGCTGAAATAATTTATCCGAATATATTCACCATGAAAATCACCATATGAGACTAAAAGGTGTGAATAAAATAAACAGTAACTATCAAAGATCTTATACATAGGGGGGCCTCCATGTCCATTTAGGGAGTTACCATTTGATTTTTAGGGGGGGGGGGGCTAGGATGAAAAATTGTGTCCTGCCTTTTTTTTTAGTAGTAATCTCTGTCCTGCCTTTTTATTTTTCACTCTATTCGGTCCTGCCTTTTTTTTATTAGTTTATCCTGTTTTTTTTTACATAAATTGTCATCCTGCCTTTTTTTTTTTGCAAAGTTGCTCATCCTGCCTTTTTTTTTTAACTCAAAACTCCTGTCCTGCCTTTTTTTGCAAATTTCATCCTAGCCCCCCCCCCCCCCCGACAAAAATCAAATGGTAGCTCCCTTATGCTGGTAACCTCACAGACTATAAAAAATTACCTATAGGATAAGGCCACAAAGCTTTATAAGACTTAACATTAAATAAATCTACTGATAATAATATGATACCAAAATTTCACACTAACCATTAAAAGTGACTTTTTCACATGAAAAAAGTGAGACAATGTCTTTGTACAATTTGAGTTGGGTTTCATTGTACTTGTCCACCTCTGCCAGAGATTCCATTATTTCTGCTCCTGGCTTCATGAGATGTCCACAGCCTATCTCATGTTCAGCCAGTTCATGAAATGGTCCACACCAACAACAACCAATGCGGGAATACTTGCATAACGAAGGCCTGAATATAGAAAAACAAAACACATTCTAACAATAAAAGATATTATAAGATTTCAGAGATTGCCTGAAAGGTCAATGGATCACTTACCTCCATTCTTCATCTTTGTAAGCTACAATACAATTAAATTAGCCATATGCCACAACAAAAATAAATGGGAAAATTTTTTGAATTTCTGTTCTTTTTTGTAGGCTCTAATTTTGAAAGCAAAATGTTCCCATTTATACTGTGTATGAAATAAAATATAAAAGTTAAAATCTCTGTAGTCCACTGTAAATCTGTTCATATTTCTGAAAGTAATTAAGAGTAATCCATTGTCATAACATAAATCCTTTTTTAAGTCACTCAGTATCTCTATCCATGTTATAATCTTGGTGAACATCCACATTTCATAAAATTTCCATTGTAATTCCACAAGATAAGGTAAAAAGTTTTCCACATAGTTCCAATCTTTAATGAATGTTGAATCCACCAGCTGATGTCTGCCATCCATGTTATCCACTTTTCACAATTTATTTTTACAAAATCAATGTCAGGAGTCCTACATTTTCACAATACTGACAATAAAGGTACAATTGTACATCCAAAAAAATTATTAAAAAAAAAGATAAATGAATAAATTAGAAAAAATAAACAAAGCAATCAACATATGAGAATATACATTGCAATTTTGTTTCATTTTTCATTGAGAAGCGATCATTCAAAAAGTTTTAAAGCTTAAATGTGTGTTTGTGTGTGTTTTATTGACCTTTTATTTAATTAACAATGAACTTTTTTTTAATTCAGGGAAGAGATCTGTAGTAATACGAACTATATTACCGCTATATTTAACTACTTAATTTTGATATGGAATAACACAAGTAAAATTACAATCCTTTTCACTCTTTCTGTTTCCTTTTCCCGAATCTCCTTAGTAAATTTGTGCTACATGTATATCTACTAATTTCCAAATGAGATTTTTATGAGTATTCAAATTTTGTCAAAATTAAGCACTTTACATTTTTGGATCAGCACAAAATCTTATTTTCATTGGAAAACCTCTAAATGTATTTTACTTTTACCAAAAGATACTGTTTACGGATGCATGTATGCAGGCATGTGAAGTACATATTTTTCCTAACAAAATCTAAAACGTTTATTAAAAAACGGGCGTATAAAAAAGAAAGAAAAACAAAATAGAACTCCGTGTTGACATTTCGATTCCAAAGCATGCTTGTTGCTGCCTTTATTTCATCTTTGAAAGATGTTTAAAATACTTGCCGCCTAATTTATGTTGATCTGTTGACAAACTTCTGGCACGTCCAAGTCACATGATAGGCACAGGGTCTCCATTTAATCCTGGTCAGGAACAAAAGATAAAAGTGTGTTTCCAATTATTAACAAGTATAAATACAAAGTGGAGAAGCACCCGAACGGATGATCCAGCATCCATGCGCGTGCTTGCTCCTAGAGCAATGATAGTTTCTTAACTAATAAACTTAATTAAGTTAACGATGACTATGCACCGTCTTACCTCTCCTCACATAGTTCACGTTCATGATAATCAACCTGGTTACGTGGTAGATGGCAGTAGCAGTACTGGCACTCTGTCGGCAGTTCTGACACTGCTTTCTCCACAGCCAAGTTTCTGGAACAAAGGTTTTTGCTGATTTCACATCTGCAGTTGGGACAGGTTGCTGTCTCATCTTTGAGTCTTGAGTCAGCGAGTACGTGATTAAAACAGCCAGCACACATCAAATGACCATTGGTACACTGAAATGAGAAATAATTTATCGGAATTCATAGCTAAATTTAATTAAATTCATCAATGACAATGCTGGAAATTTTCCTTTATTGACAACTTCATAAATGGATACATTTTATTACTTATGAAGATATTTCTTTTCTGATTTATCTGTTCATGAAAAACAGTAAAGCTTATGTGATACTAACTTAATTTTCAATCAATGCAAATAATATACATTTGTAAATGGATGCCGACTTCCAGTGTACAAGATTTTATGAGACAAGTTTTTGCATCAATCATGTCTTAACTTTTGGAAGATTTCTCTAACCATGAACAAAAAAAAAGTTAGCAAGATTTTTAACACATATATTTTATTACTATATGTTTTTAATATTGTGTATTAAACTTGCAATTTTTATCACACAGATACAACTGGGAACATTATATGCAGTTTCAAGAGTATTATCAGTGGTACATTGTAATATGTGTTATCTGACTTCACTGTCATGTTATGAGTGTGAACTTCATGCATCACTGAATTACATATGTATAATTTGCTCCCCTGTTATTTCATTCATATGATGTGAAACCATATGTAATAAACATGCATAATAAATGAGGTGGCAGTCTGCCAACTGGACAACTGATTATGTTGATCATGTGATCATGCTATCCGTCAATGTCAAAGATAATTTGGGTCAACATGAAGGTCACAGCTGGTTTTGACAGATGTGTTTGGGCAGATCCCCGATGAGATCCTCCCATATTGTATTCCATTCTTAAGCACTAAAACTATATTTCAATAAACCAGAATTTCTCTTCCATGCCATTGTTGCTAAGGTATAAAATGTTCCGTTCTAGGTAAATTGTATCTGCATTTGTTTGCAGACATTACCATATATGGCAATGATGCAATATCCGATCAGTGAAAGACATATTTCTTGAGTTGATAAATGTGATCCAAACCAAATTTAGCAAATTCAGACGAAAATTAACAATTCGAATAAAATAAAAAAATGCATACCTGGTAACAGGTTTTGGGCAGGTCCAAGCAAACTGCGCAACACAAGATTCCAGAAAGGCGATATTCCAGGGCATTTTTTTCTTTTTCTTTCTCCTCTACTTTTACTTTCTTCTTCTCTGGTTCATAAAATATGTCCATGTTTTCCTTATTTGAATTTTCATCCATTGTAGCAAGGGCTGATGGTCCTGGTATTTCAGACATTTCGTATCAGCTGTCACTGGGTCACTGGTTTGTTTACGATTGAGGTTTGTTGATGTTGACGTTTTCCTGTTTTGATCATGTGATTTAGATCCGTCAAAACATGACGTCAGCGCTAACCAATGAAACGAAATCTTGTTCATCGGGAAAATTCGTTACTTTCCGGTTATCATTATCAGATCAAAGCACTCGTACAATACCTTCAAGGTTTCACAACCTGTTACTTGACAACGGATTTGTATAGTGCTACAAGTACTAATCCTTGAGGTTTAACAAAACAAAAAAAAAAAAACAAAAATAAAAACAAACAAAGAAAGAAAAAACCAAACATCAAGAACCTAAACACTAATCTGTAAAAAAGTGTATCTTGTATTGCTGATCATTTTTGCCAGTACTGCCCATCATTTTAAGTTTTCAAGGAAAAGGGCAAACACTTGAAATTTAGCCAACAACTGTAATTTGAGAGAAGTTACTCCAATAAGGAGACATCCAATCGTTTTGGTCATATTACAATTACGTTACATGTATAGTGCGTGGCCAAAAGTATTCAGGTCACCTACATTTTTTTTGGCTATATATTTCATATAAAAACACATCATAGTTTCCCAAAATTATTGTTATGGCATCTTTTGTATGATTTTTACAAACTAGGTGTTAAAAGACACATAAGTGACTAAATTATATTTTTTATTTGGTCATAGTTTTGTCCTCTATTTTTTTTCTCTCCTGATATGAACACGTTTAATATTTTTTTTACAACTTAATTTGGTTGAAAGTCGATAGCAAATTTCTGAACGAAAAAATAATACCCAGTTTGTTTATATCAGGAAATAAAAACGCCCCACAACAACTTGAAAATAAAACCAAATAAACAAATAAGCCTGTGACGATTCTCTATTGGTACCACGTTTATTAAAATTCGACCTAAAATGACCACATAATGATTTTGTTTTTAGCAAATGATAGTTTTTTTAAAATAAATAGCGAAAAATCACAAGTGACGAATACTTATGCACTGTAGTTCTTGTATTGATGATATGTTTTTTTGCTGTTTACAATTTTTATTATTATAGTTTTCCAGATAATAAGCAAAAACTTTTTTGAAAAGTTATATTTCGCCGTTTTAGAGCAAACACTCCTGAAAGGATTCATCCAATACAAGGATATACATAGTGAAACTATATAAGTCCTTGTCCAATATTAACATTTTTTAGAACTTGCATAGCTGGTCACTTATGCTGTTTACGGTTTCTTTTTGTATATTATTATAGTTTTTGAGATGATAGGCAAAAACTGGAATGGTAATCAAAAATGTCATTTAAGGGCAATAATAACTCCTACATATAAGGTGTCATCCAATGGGTTGAGTATTATTCACATTTTTTTTATACATCTTATATTTCTATTGGCGATTTGCTTAATCATTTTTGTCGAGCCTGCGACTTTTGTCGCAAAAGCGAGACATAGCGATCCTACATTCCGTCGGCGTCGTCGTCGTTGTCGGCGGCGGTGTCCACAAACATTCACTCTATGGTTAAAGTTTTCAAATTTGAATAATTTTCTTAAACTATCCTGGATTTCTACCAAACTTGGACAGAAACTTGTTTATGATCATAAGATAGTATCCAGAAGTAAATTTTGTAAAAAAAAAATCCTGTTTATCCGTATTTTACTCATAAATGGACTTAGTTTTTCTGCCAGTTAACATTACATTCACTCTGTGGTTAAAGTTTTTCAAATTTTAATAACTTTCTTAAACTATCCTAGATTTGTACCAACCTTGGACAGAAGCTTGTTTATGATCATAAGATAGTATCCAGAAATAAATTTTGTAAAAAAAAAATCCTGTTTATCCGTATTTTACTCATAAATGGACTTAGTTTTTCTGCCAGTTAACATAACATTCACTCTGTGGTTAAAGTTTTTCAAATTTTAATAACTTTCTTAAATTATCCTGGATTTGTACCAAACTTGGACAGAAGCTTGTTTATGGTCAAAAGCTGGTATCTAGAGGGAAATTTTGTAAAAAAAAATTCTTGTTTTTTCGTATATTACTTATAAATGGACTTAGTTTTTCTTCCAGTTAACATTACATACAGTCTGCAGTTAAAGTTTTTAAAACATTTATTAGATTCATAAACCATCCTGGATTCTTACCAAACTTGAACAGAAGCTTCTTTCAATCAAAAGATAGTATCTAGAGGAAAATTTTTAATAATTATTTCCCAATTTTTGTTGAGCCTGCGGAACCCTTTCAAATTTTTCCTGTTAGTTTGAGCAATAACTTTGTAAATATTTTGTTAGATTTTGGAACACAAAACCAGATACAAAAAGTATAGTAAATTAGATACTTATTTCAAACTAATAACATGTTTTACTAAACAAATTTATCTATCGTTAAACAGTTTTCGACTGAGAAGTGCCATATGTAAACCGAGAATCAGTGTCCATAACTCCAAAATAGAATAGGTCTTCCAAATGCCAACATTTTTTCTAAATTATTGTCATCAATTTTATCAGAAATCAAAGCCTGGTCTCAAAGTTATTGTGAAACTACCTACTCTATGAGGGGCGTAAATCAGATGTGGATACTTAAAAATTGGAAAGATCTGTAAAAGTACATACAATCAAAGTCTCTTCCCTCTTGCAGTAGAATTAAACCATTGACTTTTCTACCCTTTTCACTGGTATTCGCCATTCCAAACTAAAAGTCAAATTGAAAGAATTGGTTCTGCTTTGTTTCATAAAAAAGAAGAACCAACCGGTAGTATCTTGTCTTACTATGATCATAGATATAATGGCTATTATATCTATGCTATGATGTAGGGATAAATCATACTTTGTAAAAAATTACTCTGATTCAAACAAAAAATTCTGTGAAACTGACATTATCAAGATGCTTGATTTCTTGATTGACAACATATTTGTTACGTTTGAAGCACGTGTTTTTCAACAAACAATCAGCATTCCCATGTGAACCAATTGTGCTTCTGTTCTTGTCGACTTGTTACTTTATTCATATGAGGCTGATTACATACAGGAGCTTCTTAGAAAGAATGGAAAGAAGATAGCATTTTCCTTTAACTTCACGTTCCGCTATATAGATGATGTCCTCTCACTAAATAATTCAAAGTTTGGTGACTGTTGAACGCATCTATCCAATCGAACTTGAAATAACGGATACAACAGATACAGTTGAGTCTGCCTCATATCTTGACTTACATCTAGAAATCATGAAAATGTAGCAACAATCTATCCCATCTCCCATGCAGTTGATACGATATTCCGAGCTTGCATTTCTTATCACGATTTCCTTGATAGAGGGTTGCAGCTTGCTGCTTACAAGAATGGTCCAAGAGTTTCAAGTGGTGGAGTTGAAATCACCCCTTCGATATTTTACGGACGCCATCACGTGTTGGCTGACCGATATGGAATCGGCATGCCTATGGAATATCTGTTTCACAGATGACGACGGGTATGTTCCAAAAGAGAGGCGAAAGATCGATACAAAAGGGACATTCAAGCTCAAGTCGAAAATAGACTGAAAACGACATGGCTACAACAGAAAAGGACCAACAGACAAACAACAGTACACAAAACACAACATAGAAAACTAAACTAAAAACTGAGCAACACGAACTCCACAAAAAAACTGGGGGTGATTTCTGGTGCTCAGGAAGGGTAAGCATGCAGATCCTGCTCCACATGCGTTGCTCATGTCGGTAGGTCACATTCGGGAAAAAGGGGACAGGATTGTAGTTACGACAATTGGAACATATCCGCTCTCATCCGTAAAACGTATATTCCATAACGGTCAACAAACTTGTGTTGGCGTCCATAAAATTTACGAAGGGATGATTTTAACTCCACCACTTGGAACTCTTGGTTTAATAGCTTCCTTATGAGCAGCAACCTTCTATCAAGGAAATCATGATAGGAAATACAAGCCCAGGACTATCGTATCTATTAGGAGATATATACTCCGTATGCAGGCGCTGTTGGAATTTTGCTACATAGAAATGGAAAGTTCACAATTGGGAAGCTGAAATCATCTCTTTTGTCGTATACAGGCGCTGCTGGAATGTTACTACATAGAAATTCCAATTGCTGTAGCCAGAATATCGTCCCCTTTTCCTAGAATGTGACCTACCGAATTAGACTTATCACCGGGTTTGTACTTACATGCATGAGCAAAATGATGCCGATACCAAATGTGGAGCAGGATCTGCTTACCCTTCCGGAGCATCTGCTATCACCCCCGGTTTTTCGTGGGGTTCGTCGGTTGCTCAGTCTTTAGTTTTCTATGTTGTGTTTTGTGTACGGTTGTTTGTCTTTTCGTCATTTTTCTTTGTTTGCCATATCATTGTCAGTTTGCTTTCTAATATGAGTTTGAAGATCCCTTTAATTGGTATAATCCGGCTCTTTTTATTCTGTTTGCAGTTTCTTCTAATCTATTAGCTTTTTTGAGATAAAAGCCAATAACACCAGTAATGATAATTTGGCAGATATGGGGAAAAGGTAGATCTGGACTTTCTGAGTATTCTTTATGTAGATTTTCTCTATCTATTGTGGTTTTCAAGATATTACACAAATCATGTTTTTACCCTTATTCTCTATTTTAATCTATGGCGGTCTTGTTTATAGATTAGCAGGAACCAAAAACACATTTTATAAAATTAGATACCATAAGGATCATGTTAAAATTTGGTTGAAATTGGTGAAGATGTTTCCGTGTCAGGAGATGATTTTTGAAAGCTGATGGTAACTGAACTTTATGACTATGACAAAAACGAAGACAGATGATGAATACAGACACCAAGTGATGGCAAAAGCTTACGTGGCTAGGTGACCCCCTGGCTTTATAAGTCTATGCTTACACTAACATGAATGTAAGTCACTTGAAATCAAATAGTCACATTGCTTCACTGCATTGAAGAGCATCATACAAAATATTGATGGATTCAGTCGAGGATTATGCCAGGCAATGGGTTAAACGCGAGAAAGAAGACACTTAGTGGTTTGACATTCAAAACTGTAGCACAGCAGAATGTGGTATTTTCGTTAAAACATAGATAGACTTGAACCACATCATAT